ACAACAACAACAACAACAGTAGTAACACTAGCAGTTACAGTAGCAGTTACAGTGACAGTAGCGATATAAACAACACCAACAGCAGCCCTAGAAGAACTGAAATCAGGCAAGCACATCAGAAAACAAAAAACAAACATCCAACACACACAAAAAGAAAAAAAAAATATCGCTATTTAACCCCAAGAAAGATTAATTAGGTTTCCTTGGTAATCTCAGGCTACGTCACAAAACGGTTGAAATCCTTGGTTAGGATTTGAGCCAGATCCTTGGTCTTGGTGTGCTTTTCGCAGAGGTCCCGCGGTGCTCATTGGGTTACCCAGCTGCCGGGGGGGTTCTGCCCCCAGCGCTGGGGTACCTTGGTGCTGAGGGGAGTGTGAATGGTTTAGGATTCTAAGGTTTAGGATTTGGGATTCTACGGTTGAAGGTTCAGGATTTTAATGGTTGATCTTTGGGAGTCTAGGATTGAGGATTCTAGGATTTAGGGAGGGTGGAGGGTCTAGGGTTGGAGGCTTTAAGTTTTAGGGGACCAGGATTTAGGATTTTAAGGCTTGGGTCTTAGGATTCTAGGGCTTTAGCGTTTAGAATTGTAAGGTTAAGGATTACAGGGCTAGGGTCTAGGGTTCTCGTGCTCAGAATGTAGGATTCTAGGATTTGGGATTTAGGATTCTTTTTTAGGGTTTAGGATTGTTAGGATTCTAGTCGTTTTTTGTTGCAGCTCCTTTTTCCGCCTGCCAAGAGGCAGGATTCTAGGGTTTAGGGTTCAGGATTCGGAGATTCGGGTCAAGGATTTTAAGGTCTAAGCTTTAGGATTCCAGGGTTTGGGATCTATCGAAGCTTTGGGCTTTAGCATTCTAGGGGTTTAGAGTTTAGGACTCTAGGGTTATCTTAAACTCTTAGAACCCTAGACCCTAAACCCCCAAATCCTAAACCCTGAACCCTAGAATCCTCCATCCTAAACCCTGGTAAACCCTAGAATCCTAAATCCCATACACTAGACTCCTAAAACCTATCGCAGTAGGGATATTTCGTGACTACCATTGCGCGCAACTAGCGCATAATTTTGTGAAGGGGGCTTCTTGCTCAGACGACTTACCTTAGGTTAGCTGGGAATGAGGGAATGGAAAAGAAAATGTAAACTACAGTAATGGGTTAATAGGGACTACGTACTATGAGGATCCATTCCTTTATCCGTAGCTAAACAAAGGTAAGACTGGCTTAAGTTGACGTGAAGGAGCCAAGCTTTAGTACCCCGGTGCTGCGCCTCGGTACTACAGCTTTCTTCTGTTTTTGTTTACTAATTCTAGTCCCTTACGTTTTCTCCAACAATCTGACTGAACCCTGACCTGATAGGCCTAGGAAAACAGCGAGGGCCAAGGAAGGTATGTCACAAAGCACACCTCCGCGCAGACGCGGCGAGGTCCAACATGACCTACATGCTTCCGGCAACCTGTAGAAGCATCACAGGTTACAGGCAACCCGGAAAATGGATAGGAAATCTCTTGAAGGCATGAAAAGAAAGCGACATTTCCTGTCCGTTTTTGGGGTCTGGTCATACAGTGAAGAGAATAGTGCCAGGAAGATTGGCCACAGGGACCAGGGCCCCGCCCTGTCATTTAATAAAGAGTGGGATTCTTCCGCGCGTGAAGGGCGAGAGTTGTGTTCGGAGAGTTAAAAGCTGCTTGCACCTTGGGTTCCATTCGCTGGGTTTGACCGACGCACCCATCAACAAACTGATGTTGATGGCACGGTTTGGGATATGATGTTATTCAGCTTAGAAGTTCAAGCCGCAGAAAAAGGCAGGGGTCGAGACAACGTGATATCTTTAGTCGCTGAGGCCAGGATGCCCTTGCCGTTTTCAAAGGTCTCCAACTCTGACTGCTGATAAGCAGAACGTGAAACGGAGGTGCGACAAACTGAAGTCCACAAGCTCAAGTGCCAATTGAAGCATCATTCGGTGCACGAGAACTTCTGACAGGCAGAAATCAACATAACTTGCGAGCCGCTAATTTGCAGTTGAATGGGCCTTCTCTGTGTCTTCCTTGCGGCTACTCTGGCCACTGAGGGTTATGTACCTGCATGTGCGTCGGCAAGATTCAATTGCGACGGTCACCACTGAGGGATGCGGCTCATGCAGCGGTAAGCTTTAGATTACGTCAGCACTTTGCCTTGACAACAGAAGCACGGCGCACTCTTCTTTGTACTCAGCAATCTGCTGCTCAAGCTTCTCGATCTCTGCGCTGAGCTCGTTGTTGTACTTGAAGAGAGAGAAGTTGGTGTCCTAGCCGAGTGACAGGTCCTACCTGAGGTGGGCGACCACCTATGCAGTGGGGAAAGTGCTTCTCCTCTGCATCGATGAAGTTCTGCACGAGCTGGTCAATGTCACAGATTCCAGTAGCTGCCTCCGCACGTGCAAAGGATGTTGGAGGATCACTCTGCGGAGGCAGGGCAAGGATCATGAATCTATATTATACTATCATATACTGTAATAACTATAATGTACTGTATTGTACTGAATCGATGTCATCTCCATCTCTGGTCCAAAGAGCTTTGGTGCAATTCTCAGATGAGCGACTACTACTCCTAAGGTCAAGCCGGTCAAGCTGTGCAAGCTAGCCACCTGGATACGTGCGAAGGCTTCCTCGTAGCTGGCAACCTGGTAAACTCGAAATCCAGCTGAGGAAGCAACAAGGCTTCAGAAAATGATAAGGTAGATTCCCAAAATAAAGGGACCCCAATATAGACCCCAAAATACTATAGTCCTTATTATGCGGATCCCCAAAATGGTCCCCTAATTTTGGGAAACCCCTATAAGGCACAGGTACTTACTAAGCAAAGCCAGCCTTGTCCTGATTGGATGTCATTGTCACCAAAGACTTCGTCGTATCCCAGGTGTGCCTTACAAATGAGGTTGACATGCGGAAACTCGCCCCACGCATGGCGCGATTGGTATCAATTCTTCTGCTTGAACATTGATCAGGAGCAGGCTTCGTGATCTTTTTCTTGTGCTTGTCCTCATCCTTGCTCTCACCTCAACATATTCAAGCATCCTGCACTTGGCCAGCGACGTCAAGTGACAACTTGTCCAGCAGTCCATGATCGGCAAGTAATGTGAGCAATCAGTTCGTGGCCTTCTTCTTTGCCGCGCACCTGCCCGATGTCACTACCACTGTGTCCCTGCTCTGCCCCACAGCAATATGCAGCTCCTGCACCACTATCCCACGCTTTCATGTGCTGGTGTCACGTCTGGAGCTTGCGGTATGGGAGGTCACGGAAAAGCAGGCCTTCGTGCGCATGAACTCCTTCATGCCTGATTGTGCAGTCTGATTGCATGTGGCATCATGTGGATGCAGTGATGCTCACATTGCTGATTCTGCACTGTGCACGCGCTGCTTGCGGGCAGGCCACGTTTGTCGTTCTCAATCAGACGGCCTAGCTCACGCCACTCCTGCACAGACATTAGCCCTGAAAGTGTTCACACTCATCACACCCTTGACAGCAGTCTTATCAACTTAAACTCATCGCTTGGCCCGTCCCATATTGGCCCGAATCTCCTTCTCGAATTCGGCATGTTCCTTGTCTGCCTGCTGTTTCAGAGAGGCCTTGATGCATTGACGGCAGCGGTACCAATGCCAGGGAGGATCACAGAGATCTCGCGATGTTGATGTTTTCATGTTTTGTCAATTCTTTTGTCTGAGTAGCGGGCCATCTGAGCCTGAGCAGAGTCGCGGGCTTCATAGGCCGCATTTGCCTGGCGCAAGTCACTCATGGTGCTTCATACGTGGAGCTAAGCACAGCAGGCGTCGCGACCTGCTCGATGATGTTCGCCATTTCCTTCTTTTTCTGCTGCCTGTTGCTGTAGGACGTGCATCATTAGACTGCAAGCGGCGAGCACTAAAGCTGTGAAGGACTGGGGAGTCAGCAGCTCATTCTCCAGCTTACGGTAAATGTCATCGAAGACCTCAAGTGCGTTGACCCCTGACAGCTGTGATGCATGTACATGCTGAATTGCAGCACGAGGGTAAACTCGGTTTGCAACCACACGCTCCCTTCGGAGCGTGTCAATCCTCAGTACCAATAAGGTGCTTTTGACCACTGCAGGGAAAGCTTGGAATTCCCTTATGTCTCCCCGTGCATACACAACACCTGTTCATCGATAGGATTACACGTGGCCAGTATGACATGAACGCAAAGTCTCTGCGGTCCGTACTGAAGCAGCATACAGCCTTTTGAAAGATGATAGCCCAGTAACTACCTCACCTGTTATCACTTGACAGTTTACCAGCAAATTCAGAGACAATAATCAGGAGAAATCTGCCCACGTTTCCAGTTCTTAGGCTAAAGCTGCTCACGCAACGTGCGGTTGGCGGCAATGGCTTCGTTGAACTTCTGCAAACCCTGATTGGTTGCGCCATCTCAGAATGTAATCAGTCTACCTCAACACGCTGTGGGAATCGCTCTGTTGCATTGCATGGCCTTGTCCAATCTGTTTTCCAGGATGCGGATCTGCTTAGCAATGGCCTGGCTTCAAAGCACAACGACCGCCAGCTCATACTGTTGGACTGTTGCTTGACACTGAACTAGACTCCATTGCATGTGCATCTGGCAGGGCCTTGGAGTTGTCAAGCGCTGCATTCACGCCACCACTCTTGGCCATCTCCTGCAATGCTCTTCTGTGTGTTTGCGATCAACTAATTCAATCCCAACCTCCCGGAGCTCAAAGATCCGTCTCTGGGTGGAGTCCAGCCTGGGCTGCAATGAGCACAGCCAATCATCAGAATGCGAACACATCAGGGCTCAAACTTGTCCTGGAGTTTTCTTGCCTCGGACTCCTGATTCGAGGATCTTGCAACAGCTCCCTGCCCCTTCTTTTCAGAACTGTGCATACAGCCGGCCTCGCCGTCTGTCTTTGCCGTGAGCTGCTCCTTTTGCTCACTCCTTGGAGGCTTTGCCCGTGCAACTGGGGAAAACATCAAGAAGCTCTGAGTCCATTGCAGCCTGTTCAGGGTCTCCTGCTGCATCTTCGCCTCCGCCTGCGGATTTCAGCGAAGCGATTGCCTGCTTTCGCCTGAGTGCCTCTCACTCATTCTCATGGATGAAAATGTTTTGCCAGGCCTGAGTGCCGGTGCTGGACCGGGTCTCATTCAGCTCGGCCTCCACAAGCACACGACTCGACACGACATCGTCGACAATCGCACTGATGCCGTGAGCTTAGCATGCTTAGCTTGGCCTTCATCTTGCGATTTTCGCGCGTGAGCTTCTCAATCGTAGCCCGCTGCTTTCGAATCGTGCCTCTGCAAATTTGGCAGTGCATCCACACAAGAGGCGTATGGTGTGGATGCCTGCCTTGAGAGTCTTCACTGCAGGCTCTCTTGTCATTCTCCTTGCCAAGCGCATTCTTCATATTAACTTTTATGTTTACGATCTGCTTGCGAAGCCGAGGTGCGAGGACCCGGAACTTTCGCTGCAGCTCGGCGATCTCCTGCTCGATCGGCTTCCTGCAGTGACTAGCTACACATGGCTGTGCAGATTCGGAACGTAGACACTGTGCCGGCCTGTCTTCGTCTTTCTTCTTTTTGAACATGGCCTGTTGTACACATCATTACACATCACAACCAACCTGCAAGCCCCTACTCCATTGCTCTCCAACTGAGCCCAAGGCCATTTCTGGCGCGCCTTGGTGCTCGTGTGGTACAAATGCTAGTGGCAGGGTCAACTAGACTTATGGGGGTGGGAGACCTACAAAGCCGAAAGGGAATGCACCGTCGCTCCAGCTCACTCATACACCGCTATTGTGAGGTGCTTCTACGCCAATGGCTGTTGGGAGTCAGAATGATGCCGATTTGTGCGGCTTCGCCTCCAAGCACTGAAGCGCCAGCGAGGCCCCAACTATGAGACTAAGCCGAAGTTGCGGCAGAAGCCGGTTGGCCAACAAAGAGAGAAGTGTCGGCCCTTTATCGTGGACAACATTCTTGCGCAGCAATCGCACTTGCTTTTTATCTATGGCGCCTTTGACTAGTGTCGAACATCCTATTATCCATTTGCTGTTGCCAGCACCCGGGGGTGTGAGAGCCTGGCCTTCCTGCCAAGCATGTAACCTCAGAGACCTAGAGTTCAATAGTTCAAGAGGATACGTGGCGCAAGGACTGTGATCCTTTCCAGGCTCTTTCCCACCAACTGAAATTCGTCAGGCCTCTGGTGCTGACCTGCCAAATTGCAAGCTTTGTGGAAAAGCATCCTTGCACTGTGGACATGTCCCGCCTCGTCTGAGGGAGCCAAGCACACCGGGGACAATAAGACAGGTCCTTGAAGCTTCCGCCTTTCTTCCGCGGATGTGATGGAGAGGTACCATCTGCAGCTCAAACGTGCCATCGCAGCCGCCATGCAGTCTCAGACCCCTAGCTTACTTGGTGATTTTCAGGTTGAATTCCAACAACGGCACGTAGTCGCCCAGCATGGCAAGCTGCGAGTTCACGCAATTAGCGCCCATGGGTGAGACTCGATTTGAGAAATGGCAAATGCGTCTGAGCAAGCAACCGTACAAGCAACTGTTTAGAAACAGTATGAAAACATGAAGTCCACACGGGCACAGCAAACGCATTATTGTAATGCTGGCCGTTACCAGCATCCGTGGGTGCAATGAGATGCTTTAAGCCATGGTGTGGGCAATTCCACCGCATCATGGCACCTCCGCATAACGAGTGCCGGCTGAACCGGGCAACACGGCAAACCTTTGAGGAATTGTGTATCTGCTTCGGCCTAAACCCGGAACAGCTACGTGAGCGCATTCGGGGTGCACCTGACGAACGTGAAAATCTGCTGGCTTCAGGCGCAAAACAATTCAGTTGGTAGTATGCCTTCATCACACGATGTGGAACAAATCTGATTGGAAGATGCTGGAAGCCATGGTAAGGGTGTGCAAATGGAAGACACGCCGCGCAGCCGCGCTTCCTCGCGGCATCCTGTCCTGGAGTAATTCATTTAAGACGTCCTCGAAGAGGCCCATAAAACAGATTCTCCGAAAGTCCACAAGCTTAGGAAAGATTATTGGGATGCTGCTTGCTCTGCAATTGCGTGGACAATCGTCAAATCCAAATCCTTACACGAGTCCCGCCTCAGGCGGTCCCTGCACTGCTGAGAACTTCTTTCAAGCAGGCGCGTGACACGGCAAATGGCTCTTCGCAGTGTGGTGTATCTAAGCTCATCTTGGTAGTTTCAGCCATTCATGCCATAAGATGAGACAGGAGCTTCGCTCGCATCTGATTAGCGTAGGAGGATAGACCGGCCTTCGCCTCCCCTCCGAGAAAATACCTTAGCTGCCAGTCTCCTGCAATTGTCATGTTGGCTTCAATTGCCTCGATCAGTTCGGCAAAGGGGCACAGGCTCTGGTTTCAGGCCCAACCTCGGAATACGTGGCCCAAAGATAGAAATTCCTACCATTCGGCCTGCGGCAAACACATGGAAGCATCCGTGTCTATGTGGCGTGGAATCTTGTGGCTCAGGGCGGCGCTGACTGATCTTTCAAGTTGCGTTGCAAGCTGAGACGCAAACCACAAGACCATTGGACGGAATCGTTAACAAACCTCATCAGACCAGCGCTGTGACTAGCTCTGACCCTTCGCAACCTGTCACATGTATACGAACCTTTGTTTTTACATACATGGCATTACATGGCACCTTCCAGTAGCACCTTTCACCTTTGCGAGCGAACGCTCAACAGTGTGGCACGTATGCGCTGGACCGACCGTCTCCATGAGCATCACATTTGGGCCCCTGCCAGCTCGCGGATACCTTGCCATCCTTTCGGGGCCTCGAAGCCATAAGGCACCTGCTTTGCAAAGCATCGCTCAGCCCAGCCCGGCACAGCCACAAACCCTGGATGCCTCCATGAACTTCAGCAAGGCCGTGCTGGGGCCATCTTCTTTCGCTACTTGGCTCTTGATGTGCATCCTCAGGCTTGCAGCGTGCCGTGTTTGCGCCAGCGTGCTACCATCCCGCGGTGGAAAGCCTAGGTCCCAGGCAGCATTCGCCGTGCCACCTGCCACTCTCCTTGAGAATAGTTTTGGTAGCCCATGTTGAAAAGCTGGAAGAACTCTACCTGACAAGGGAGCTGGATGCACAGTTAAGCAAGCAGTTCAGAAGAGAAAGGTCACAGGCAGCAAAGATGTTGAGGTGATGGCAGTGAAGCGTTCCCGCATCTGGAGGATGACCTGCTTGGCTCAGACTGCATGTGAGCTGCAACCAGCCACGGGAACACTTCAACTGTGAGCTGCTTTGACAGCAAGCAGCCTGCCTCATCCGTTACGAAGATGTCGGCCAAGTCCTTTGCACATGGACCCAGAAGCAGAGGCTGACTCTAGCAATAGTAATAACAGTAGTAATAGTAATAATAACAATTATAGTAATATTAATAGTATTAGTAATAGTAATCATTACAAAACTGAGCTTTCAAGTCACTTCCTCACAAAACAAGACATACAACAAAAGGCTGAAAGCCCTCGAAGTCCAATCACGCATTCCAAACCATTCGGGATCCTTCTGTAGCACTTCCTTCTTTTCTTGCTCTATCTGCTGCCGGACCTGCAAACAGGTGGCCAATTGCAGGAGACTCACGAGGAAAAGAGCTGCCCGTGTAGGCGCCTTGAATCTTTGACGGGTGTTCCAGGGGACCTGATGCATGCGCAAGGATATCCCGTATGATGCTAATGAACATCAACAGCAAAGCAAACAACATCACGATGTTCTGATGATCGGCTTGATGGACGCTTCTGGAAACTCACGTCCCCCTCCATTACGCGCACGCACGACGGGCGGACATTCAAACTTGAGAAGCTTAATCAATAATCTGGCTGATCCTGCCTTTGGTCGAGACGTCCGGTCCACTTCAACACCTGAGCTACGGCCAATGTTTCGCAGGGAGCTTAGAGGTGGATTGTGGGGGAACATATGGAACATCATAGATTGAACCACTCCCGGCAACCCCATGGGGTCCACCCTGTGACAGTCGGGAGCTTGGCTCATATAATCCAGGTCGACGCAGTAGAGCTCCATCGGAGCTGGAGAGCCTGGGAGCTGGATTCAAGCAGGCAGCCTCAAGGGTACAATATTAAGGTAAACTTGGGGTTATGTAGGGATAATGGAAAAGAAAAATGGAAACTGCTATTGCTGGCCTCGAACAATGACCTTGTCAATCAACCTGCACTGGGACCTGCAAGGAACTGCGTAGGAAGCAACAGCGGAGAGGCGGGACAGGACTGCAACAATCCAATGAGGCAACCACCTGATAGGATAGTCACACAGGTCAACGACCTTGCGCACAAAGTGAAAGGTAAACAGTGTCTGGACCATGAAGCCGGTACTATCGAGATTTTCTTTACACCTGTGGCCCGGGCAGACTGCGCTACCATGACCGACACCCCATAGGCTTCCTGTCACCATGTCTGCATAGTGCAGGCAAGTCTTACTGCAAAAGACTAAGAAATGATGCAACTTGTAAGACTTGACTTCGCTTGATAATCTTGAGTGAAGGCATTGTTCCGTGTACTGAGACAGACTCGCTGAAGCGTGTCGGGGAGGCGGTGGATCGCTCTATGGACGTGGCAATGCTCACGTTTGGCGATAAGTATGAACAGTCAATCTTGAACTCACTGCCGACCTTCGCACAACGTTTGTGTGGACCAGGACAGCAAGAGAGTGCATGAAGCTCTTGGAACCTCTTAGTTTGCGACCGCACCCTCAATAGCCCATCCTTTGTGAAGGCCAATGCTAAGGTGCACCCTGCAGTTCGAGCCTGCAGTTCAAGCCCAACTGAGATGTCTTGAAAGCATTCGTTCCTTCTACAAAGCGATAAAAACAAGGGCAATGTGTATTCCATGCCGGGTGCACCCAAGCGATACTGAAGCCCGGGGTGTTCTCTGTAGCTGCCGAGAAGAGGCCTCAGTTCACAAACAGAATGAGGGCTAATACAGGCGCTTGAAGACTCTTCAACGACAGGATTTTCGGAGCAGTGTCTGCATCCGGTTCCACAAGGTATGGTAATCAATGACCCTAGTCTAAGATTGCAACGAGTGGTGCACAGCACCAATAACGCATGCAGAGGAAACAATGGCACCTGCTTGCCCGGTTTGCTCAACGTCATACATACACAAAAACCGCAGCCTTCCGCATACTTCTGCATCAGCTCAGTTCCGTCGATTCCTGACAAGCAACCGAGGTGCATCCACACAGCAAGTACACATAGACTTCTGACTTGGCTTTGAAGATATGTCACTTTTGCGAGCATGCCGCAGCCAGTCCAGTCCTGCATCGCTGCTCTCCTTCCAGATGACGAGGAAAGAATCGCCAGTGTTTTTATTCGGAGCCTGGCGAGTTGGATGTGGGTGCACATTATGTTGTCTGCCTTGCGAAGGGTACCAGAGTTTACTTCTCAGCTGGCATTCCACAAGACCACTGACCGAGCGCTAGACTCCGTGGAACTCATTGCAAACTCCGTGCACCTTTGCTTGCTGACTATGGTGCGGCGGAAAATCCAAGGTCCACTTCACCTGGACTGCTCAGCGGTTGAGCCGCGAGCAATTTCTGCAATCTGGTTAGAGAACATCATCACCTTCGCCTGAAGGACCTTTCGCAATTTGGAATGCGGCCATTGGTCTCAGTTGGACATTAACCTGAAAAGACTGCTGAAAGGGTTGCCACTGGCAAGCAGACCACACATGACAACCCTTACCTCCGTCGCAGTGCTGAAATCGCGAACGCGTAGAATGCCAACTATGCACCTTGACATTGTTGCGCTTCTCTCAACAGAACATTTGTTACTACTGCGATCTACTGCGCGACTGATCTGTGAGTGCAAGGAAGCTGAGCTGTGCGGCTCGCACTTGCGCCCCGGAACCATGGCATTCACGCCAGCGGAATCAGAACCGCTCATGTTCTTGCCTGAGTTTACAACATGCCTTGACGAGAACAAGCACCGAGGGCCCGGATAGAGACGCCGGCCGATGATGTCCGCACCGGCTTCACCAAAGCCCAGGGCGAGCAAGGACCCAAGCCTCAAACAGAGAAGTCTAGCTTGGCGCGGACAAATGGCCGGGCAAGATGCAAACAAGCAGCTTAATGATTGTTTTTTCCAGAATCACGGTCTCCATGACCTCTTGTCTAGAGGCGCAAATCCTGGAGGCTTCCTCGCAGGCACCAACGAGTTGATATCCACAAAAATCTGCAGGCAGCGCAAAATCTTGCTATCCGCAGCCATGCGTGCACAAGAAACCGTCCTAGCTCAACCATATCATCTCCTAGACAGAAGTCATCAAGACTTACACCCGCAACGGTCCATGGCGATTCTGGTAAATGGCTTCTGCTTGTTCCTCATCATGCGTGCCTGGCAGTCAGGCCAAGCAGAGTGTTGCACCCCACAGCAAACTGCCTTCAATCTGGATGGAACCCAAATGCGCTACGTTGTGCTTCCATCCTACTATGACACCGCGGCGAACTAAGATAATCCCACAGCTCTATACATGTGTATACTGTAATATACTTGTCACCCTCGCGAGAGGAAACAATGAAACAACAGCATGCGCGCGCAAGTATTTCTAAATACTTCGATGATACGAAGGTAAATAAAAACGCTGAGCGAAGTAGATGAAACAGCTCGGATGAGGAGCGACATTGTTCGAACGGCAGACACGTGCGCGTGTGCTCTCTCTCGTCTTCAATGGACTACGCAAGGATTCTCGAGTCTCTGCACTCTGCCCCCTAAGTCCCCAATGGCCCGGTCTGACGAAGGTTGGGACAACCAAGGACCGGAGTGCAATGGAGCCGAACCCAACGCCTGCGAAGTCCCCATGCGCCCTCATTTCTTTCCCTCTCTCAATTTCTCTCAGGGGTTCAGTGGAAGGTTGCTCTGCCCTGAGGGGCATGCACGTGAGAGGCCAGGCATTCTTCCGCGTGCTAGTGCGTTCTTTCATCCAACTATGACGGCCAACTTCTTCTTCTGTGCGTGATGCACATATCCCACAAGCTTAAGGCAGAGAGACACCAGGGTGATGGTGTGAGGCCATCCACGTCCATGCTCCGGCCAGTAAGGGCCAAGTCCGGCATGCTGCACTCAACGGAGAAAATGGTTTGTCGGCTTCTGGGGCCTCTTGGAACTTTCATTTTTCACTCTGGAGGATCTGCCCTTGACTCCTGGGCCATCTCTTCAAGTTGAAAGCATCGCCAGCGATATTCCCGAAATGGCGAACTGTGCCCTAAGAGCCTGTTGTCCTGGGTGGGTGGATAGGCAAAATGCTGCGCTCACTCCCATCTTCAGAAAAAAGATCGCGTACTAGCTTACCCCGCCCGTACCAGATTGACATTCCCCAAGTGGTGGCAAAGCCTTGCGCTTTTACATTTGGGACTGATTTTGGATCGACCTGCTCGGTGCATCGTTCCGAAAACTATTAGAAGCACCATTCAATAAGAGAATGCTCTTTGGTGATACAAAAGAAGTGACTTGAAAGTTCTCCCGTCTGAGTCCTGTCACAACTTAAGTTCCATGCGCAGAGGCTGCCTGGTTACCACCTGTAAACCGCACGGTTTTGTTGGCCAAGCTGTGCCACCATTGTCTCATATGCTGCCACTGATCTTGGAAGTCTGATGCTGAGCTGTGCCGCTCTTACTAACCCCCTCGTCCCGGCCTCCATACTGGCATCCTACATTCTCCATGTCTTGCCACTCGCTCCTCTGAGCTGGGCTTCCTGATTTCCCGGGCAACCGTCATCCCTTCCCTCCACTCGTCTACACGGACTTCATACTCCCTAACAACAGAAGTTCGCATTAACCTGTTTGACTAACCTTTCTGGAAGGCACTCCTGCTCCTTCCCCTCTCCCGCCTCCCTTCCACTCCCCCTTCCCATCCCCTCCCGTACCTCCCCTCCTTCCGTTCACCTTTCCTCCCCTCCCCCTCTCAGCCAGTCAACATCACATAAGTTGCGACAATGGCCTTCTTGATTTCCTCTGCCTTGAACTCATCATCAGCCTGGAGCTTCATGACAACAACCACAAGAGTCACAATAGCTTCATGAGGACAGCTCACCATCACGCACTTCGCTTCTCAAAACCGGCTTGAAGACTCACAGCTCTGCCAGGGACGGCACCATCTTCATTGCCAGTAAGGGCTTATCTCGAATGGCCTGCTGGACTATACGCAAACAAGATCGCCTACTCGCAGAGGCAACCGCATGCAAACTGCAGAGAAAGCAGGTACTACAGCCTCAATGCGCTCTATCATTTTCTCGACCTTGCAGGCTCTTGTGGCATGTCTCGCAGCTGTTTGATGCCTCAACAGCTTAGCCCGAAGCAGGTCTCAACACCAGCCGGTTCGCGTCACTTGTAAACATGAGCGATGCTGTGACAAGGAGGACCATGACAAAGAATGTCACGCCCAAACTGAACCTTGGCAGAGAAATGGCTGCAGAAAATGGCTTTACGAGAGGGCAGGCTTTGCTTCAAAGCAGTAAGGTCGCCCACGCTGACGTCTGCCGATTGAACTGGCGCATGTCATAGTAGAAGGTGATGAAATAAGAACTTTGACCTGAAGAAGCTGCTTTCATGCTTTTACTCACCCAGGGCATGACTGCTTTCGCTCAGACTCCTTCTATGCCTCAGCTCCTCGCCAGGTGCTATCAGCTGTGACGCATATGCCTGGACCATGACGACGTTACAAACAACTGCGTCCGAGTTTTTAATTGTGGGGATGAGTTGCACCACCAGAAACTAAGGGCTTGAGGGGACTGGGTCAGTTTGCTGATACGTCAATACCTAAAGATGCTGCAGCTCATGCTGTAGATGGCACCGTGCGCCTGAATCTCCGTCGCCCGAAGATCCAATGGGCACGACACCTTCAGTGCTGAAGTCTTGGAGCACGAGGCCGTCGGTTCTGAAGTATCTTACAGTGTACGCGTGTAAAACCACTAAAGCCCCTACGGAGGAACTAGGCGCTTGGCCTGGTGGTGATTCAAGCCACTCACCTTGTTCTTGATCATCGAGAAACCAAGAAGGTCCTGACGCTGAACTCTTCTCCGATAACACTATGTTCGCCACTCAGCAAGAAAGCACGAAGCCCCGAGAAATTGCCAGGTAAGACAGTCTTGATAGGAAGCACGAAAGACCGTGCTGCAAGCAGCATGCAACCTCTGGGAACAAAGCAGTTGAGGCATGGGCAGTCGTGGAGGTGGCGCACGACTCCGTCCATGGTGCGGAAAGGGTTGCCTGTTGAAATAGAATTTTCTGGCACGGGATCTTGAGGTCAGAAGGAGAATGCCAAGTCCGCGCAATGTAGATTCAACTACGAGTAAGAGCTTTTGCCATTACAGCACCTCTCGAAAAACGTGCAGCACATGTCTGACAAGTTATTCAGAATATACCCTAAGCCCTAAGCCACGATCCTTCACTTCTGGCGGCAAACTTCCCAACGCCATCCAAAGGTCCTGCAACATTGAGCGGAAATTTATGAGTCACAGACAAGAGCCTACCCGGCCTACCCCTTAGTCCATCCAACTCATGTGGCTAATCTGGTGTTATCTGGTGTGGTTTCTGACACCCAGCAATTTCTGTGGCCATGGCTGCGTGGGCAATCGAACTGACGTGCCTGAGTGTTGAAGGAGGTGGCGTGACTGCTTTCGTAGTTGTTCACAACCGTCTCGTTCAGCTGCGTGTACTGTCAGGCGCGCAAGGCTTTGCAAAGGTTCGCAGGCTTGCAGCAGAATCTTGTTCATGTCCTCCAAGATGGATGTGAAATTCACGACGCCTAGCGGTCCTGCAAAAGCAATTTCAGCCAGTGGTACTGCAACCCAAATCGTGCCTGTTAGATCATGTCAAACAGGCTTTTAGTTTTGACTGCTAAAGGCACAGTACATCCGCAATGCGGTAGCGTGCTACAACGCCGTGGAACCCTGCCTGCCAGCCCAACCCAGAATAGAGAGCCTGTCAGAGTAAACATGCATGTGCGCAGCTGCTTGCTGCATGACAACAACAACAACAACAACTGGCCGTAAGCAACCAAGCTGAGGAATATGCAGCAATATATCTGAGTGCCTCGCTCTCTCTCTCTCTGGCCAGATGGTCAAAACAGCTCAACAGCCAGCAACAGGAAATGATACACATCACCACTCTAGCTCTCGTATGCTCTCGCAGCCCGGCCTAGAAATCTCCCAGCGCAGTTTGCGGTGGGGCAATAAATCGCCTACCAAGCACCAATCAAAGCCGGGCCGCTATGCTGTTTCTCATTTCCGGCAAGGACGCAAGTACTGTTTTCGCCAAGGCCTGAAAGTTAGCGACATACCAATTGTGGTAGTAGATATACTCCACCAGTGCCTGAGCAGGTGTAAGCTGTTGGCTGCAAAAAACTTGCAACGCAATTTCCAGATGCTGGCGTGGGCTTTTTGATTTGAGGAGCCAGCCTCGTCGTACCTGGATGGGATGAAAAGCAGTTCGCAAGATTCAGAGCAGCGATTAGGACATAAGGCCAAACCCCTCGGTGCGACCAAGCGGCGACTTTGTTGCAAGCTGCGAGACAGCTGAGGTGTTCCCCATTTTGGCCTGGAACGCCTGCGCAGGAAATGTCTCCAACAGCAGTACCCCACGCTTCAGTTGAGACTCACCAGACACTCAAAACTGCGTTCTTGTCAGCATTGCCTGCCAAACCGCATTGGCGCCGTAGCTAACTGAGTACGGTGTCTGATCTGCCTGGCATTCTGCTTTGGATTCAGGGGAACAGCTGCTAGTGTTCTCGTGTAATACTCTAGATCACGGCACAATACCAAACACTGCCGGCACCACGGACTCCTTGGAGAGCAACGGCAGGATCAAAAGCATTGCGAGAATCAGACCTCAATGCCATCACAACACCCACACGATATGAAGTTCAGCTCCAGCTGCAAGACTCCAAGAGGCATTTCTGAGATGTTGGCAGATGACTCGTCTTGTTGTCATCTCGGAGAGCTTCTTCCCCACTCGGCCTAAATCAACACAAGCACAGCCAATGACACTCGTACACGGATGCACCGTTCTCCTCATCTCAATCTTGTTTGCATGTTCGTGCACCAAACAAATCCATCAAGAATACGGACTGCCGTCTACCACCATAAAGATTCAGTTACAGTTTTCATACCTGCTCCAGAAGCTGAGGTCAAAGCTCTCGTTGGCCTTCCCGTCTGCTTTTTCAACAGCCTCATAGTCTGCTTCGTCCCAATCATCCTGGCCACAGAGTTGAAAGATCTGTCGTTTACGAGCTAAACGGTATATTCGGCTGCGTTGGTCCAGCCTGCAGGTCTTCACCTGACTTTTTTCTTCTTTCTCTTTCTGCCTTTCTCTGCTTGGCCTTGCCGCAGGTCAAGCGTAAATGCACAACCGTAGAGGTTTCTATCCAGTATCACCATCCACTGCTGGGTTTGTTTGGCCAACTCGACGCTCAAGCTGGATAGGTTCAGCGCGGTTCAGCAAGGCTAAGTATCACCGCCCCCTGGCCTCATAGTAGGCCTTGTAGAGCTTCAGGATTCTCACCTCAGTATCAAAGATCGCACGGCCATGCTCGCCAGGACTTTCATACTGAGTCAGATACCAGTCGGAGCACCCTAACCTTACATGCGCAAAGTTAAGGTGGGCGAGTCAAAACAGAGCAAACCCCACTCGCAAAGGCATAGAAACTGCAAAGCAAGTCTAAGTGTCCTGGCTACTCGCCCAGCACGGGCTCCGACTCTGGCTGTCCTGACAGGGGCGAAGTTGGAATGGTGATCTACCTCGTGACCAGGTCACGCTTTGACCTCGTACTCTGCATGCTCTCCGCCCGCCATTTAAAAGTACAGAACATTTTGCGTCGTCACTTCCACTCTGTCGTCCTGCCGGACCGTAGGTCCGAGGCATCACCACCATCGCCACCACCCTGGCTAGATACGGGCTAGTCAGGCCAAAGACAACACAGCCAACTGATACCTACTGCAAACAGCGCTGCTTGTGGAAACAAATTACATCAGACACCCCTTTTCGACACCAACTTGGCATACAGACAGCTCTGGCTACTGATGGCTGTTGATTATGCAGCCTGCCAAGCCAAGACATATCCACAAACAGCTTCTCTCCAAAGCCGCTGGCCTGGATAGCCTCACTGACCCATGTTAGGTCGAGCCTGGGGCGAGCTGCCAGTCCTATCCTAGAAATGACACCTCTGGAAAAAGGTCTCCCATGCAGTGCAACTGGCTGGGACAGCTGCAGTAGCGTTGCTGTGCTGATCACATCTAGCCAGAAGAAAAACCCTAAGTAGTAGTCGGCCTGCCAAGAAGCACAATAATGCTGAGCAACGTCAAGCTGCACAAGCTCGCATCACTTCACAAACACAAGGCCTTCCCCAGGCAGGAGAGAATCACCTCAAAGCAGGCGCAAATCTCATGACAGCAAAAGCCAGCATAGCATCCTGCTGCACGCGTAGCTTTCTATTCTGCATCTGGCCTCCAGCGTAAAAACCACTATACCTCAGGCAACCGGATAGACAGCATCAGGAAGCCAAGCCATGCCACGACGGACTCATGCCTTACATAGCCAAGGCTTCAGCTCGCGGTACTCTGACTGCTGCCAAGCTGCAAACTAAACCCATGATATTGAACACTATGTCTTGCGGCTTTTCTGTGAGGATTATCCTGAACAGCCACAAGATTGTACAGCTGAAGAGAACAATTGTGACCTCAACATGTCGCCTTGCCTCAGGTCGTCGGCCGTCAAGGCATAGAAGGTGAGAATCGTGGTGAAAATCATGAAATACCTGTTATCAACCTGGCCAAAATCATCTTTGAACGGCGGCTCTCAAGCAGATTGCAAGCAGCGGACTGGAATCTTGCTGACAAACAGGCCAAGGGTGGCAATTCTTCTGGACACCAAAGCATACAAGGGTGTGCTTCTTCCTATCCAAGCGCTAGATTAAAGACTGATCTTCTGGCCACATGCTTGTAGACATTTCGAATCTCGGGTCTGCGCTAGCTTTGTTTTTTTCATCTCGCTCTTTTGAGAGCTTGTTGTTCCGCGGGCTGGTGATTTTCATGGCATCGCCAGAATCTCCAGTTCGCACTGAGAGCTTGGGGCCTCGCTGAGCAAGTCTATGCGCTTGCCGGCTCTC